TGCGGACCTTGGGGGACGCCAAGGTCAATTGGGGAGTACTTACGATGGAGCTGAGGGTGGATGGAAGAAAGGTGGTGATCAAGGGAGATGCAAGGCTATCCAAAGCCATGTCATCACTAAAAACCATAGTGGGGAATATCCAAGAGGTGGGGGAAGGCTATTTGGTGGAGCTGCACAGATTGGAGGGAGTTAGATTGGAGGAGAGAGTGAACATACCCCTCTCCATACAGTCGTTGATCTAGCAATTCTAGGAGGTATTTTAGTCGCCTCAGGGATTGCCTCCACCAAGGGAGCAGGAGCATGCAATCACCTTGAGAGAAGGTGTTTCACCCATCTGTGTTAGACCTTACTGCTATCTTCAAATTCAGAAGGATGAAATTGAGAAGTTGATTAGAGAAATGTTGGAGGCGGGGATTATCAGCCCCAATGTTAGTCTTTTTTGTAGTCCAGTACTACTAGTTTAGAAAAAGGATGGCAACAGGAGGTTTTGTGTGGATTATAGGGGAGTGAACAAGGAAATTGTGCTAGACAAGTTTCCTACACTAGTGATTGATGAATTCTTGGATGAGTTAAGTGGGACAGTGATCTTCACCAATATAGATATGAAGTTAGGATATCATCAGATCTGAATGAAGGAGGATATGCCCAAGACTGCTTTCAGAACTAATGAGGGGCAATATGAGTTCCTGGTGATGCCCTTTGGCCTCACTAACACACCTGCCCCATTCCAGTCTCTCATGAACAAGGTCTTTAGACCTTATCTCAGGCGATTTGTCTTGGTGTTCTTTGACGATATCCTAGTGTACATAACAGAGGAGTATTGGGAGCACTTGAGGAGGGTGCTAGAGGTGTTGCAGGAGCATCAGCTAAGGGCCAACTTGAAGAAGTGTTGTTTTACCCAGACCAGTATGGAGTATTTGGGCCATATTGTGTCCAAAGAGGGGGTGATAGCAGATCAATAAAAAATTGAGGCTATGTTGAGATGGCCATTACCTAAGAACCTGAAGGAGGTGAGAAGATTCTTAGGGCTGACAGGATACTATAGGATGTTCGTGTAAGGGTACAACACCATAACATGACCACTAACAGAGCAATTGAAAAAGGATGGATTCCTATAAGGGGAAGGCATCCACAACAGCTTTTGAGAGTTTGAAGAAGGCTATGATGATTGTACCAGTCTTAGCACTACCAAACTTTACTCAAGTGTTCGTAATAGAAACAAATGCTTCAGGATATGGGTTTGGGGTAGTGCTCATGTAACATCATCGACCCACTGCCTATTTCAGCCAGGTGTTGATAGTTAGGACCAGGCTGAAATCAGTTTATGAGCAGGAGTTGATGACCATTATACTAGCTATCCAAAAGTGGTGGCCTTACTTATTAGGTAGGCATTTCATTGTTAGGACAGACCAGCGAAGCTTGAAGTACTTGTTGGAGCAGCGGATGGTGACAAAGGAGCATCAGAGGTGGTTATCCATGCTTTTGGGTTATGATTTTGAGATCCTATACAGGCTAAGAGTGGAGAACAAGGCGATAGATGCCTTGAACAAATATATGGGGGATTTGCAGGCGACAACACTGTCAATTCCATTGATGTTATATTTGGAAGCCATCAAGGAGGAGAGTGCTCGAGATGAGGAGTCGGGGAAGATTAAGGCTGATTTATTGAGGGAAGAGGGTAGCCATCCGTGTATTTTTTGGTTGGGGAGAGACTTTTATACCAGGGGAGGTTTGTGATGCCTACATTCCATACTTGCTCCAGGAGTTCCATAGGAGCGCTGTTGGGGGACATTCAAGGGTGAAGAAGACCTACAGGAGACTAACTTCAGAGTTGTGCTAGAAGGGGATGCATAGAAATGTGGAGAAGATGGTCGCCATGTGTGAGTTATGTCAGAGGAACAAGTACATAGTGATGTCTCCAGGAGGATTATTACAGCTACTTGCTTTACCAGGTCAGATATGGGAGGAGGTGTCTATGAATTTCATATATGGGCTACCCTGATAAGAGGGCTTCATAGTGAGTGGAACGCTTGGGCAAATATGCTCATTTTATTCTCCTACGACATCCATACACTGCAGTGACAGTGGCATCTGCCTTTATCAGAGATGTGGTCAAATTGCATGGAGTACCCAATGCTATAGTATCTGACAGGGATAAGGTGGACTTAAATTTGTCCCTTTAGACAAATATTCACCCTAGGTTTACGAGGTACCCTTGGACGAAGCAATCCATTGGTGTCAACAAGGATCCTTCTATCAAGTTAGTCGACTATCTTCTCTGTCTAAGTAGACTAGGGACCATGATGACCCAGGATGACGGAACCAATGGATCTTGATCGGGTCCATCATCCACTCACCCACTATCCGCTTTAAATGCAAGATAGTGTATTTTCAAAATTTAAATGTCAAATCGTTCAAATATCCAAACCCATGCTGCTATTATAAGCCCGATACACATATTCCTTGTGTATCTGATTGATGACTAACGTTATTAAAAAGTTCTCTCTTGTTATTAGGAGGGGTAATTAACTATAGGTGCTTGCACCTATAGAAAACTAGAACTCAGATCATAAAGTCCTTGCAAAATGAGGGCGAAATTTCTAAGTAGTGTCTTATCTACAATCCCAATATGCCTTCCTAAAATTTACCATGGAACTCAATTAGTTAAAATTCTCTGAAAGCAGGGGAGGTCGAGGCACGAATTTTTGGAGCCCACACGATGTTGTTCACGATTGGAAGCGCAATGTCGTGTTGTCACTGGTTATTGCTTGGGGAGGAAAAATATAATTGGAGTGTAAATCCTATAATTTAAGGATGATTATGCAAATGACAATGCTACGCATACCATTTCAATTCAGGGGAGTCGGGTACTCCTTCATGAACCCATGTGAGATGAGGTATGGCTCCATTTCCTCAAACACCTCTTAGTTAAGCATTAGCACTAAGGTGTTGCTTAGGTGGATGCCTTGGTGTGAGGCATTAGGTGCTTTGGCACTTAACTTTATGATGCAAATTTTAAGTATTTTTTAAAGATTGTGCAGCCATAGTATGAGATGAACATCTACAAATCAAATGATAAGGAAGAGAATATGGGAAAGATGAAGTAGATGGTTGTGATGAATAGATTAACCTTACCCTAATGATTCTACAAAAGATTTTTATTCACTTGTCTAAACTTGAGATGTAATTTTTGAGCCTTACATCATCTCACCTGGACAATTTATGTTTCAATGTTCCATTATTTTGGTATTTTGATTGACACAAAATTTGAAATATGTTTTATTTTTCTATTATATTTTAAAATTTTAACACTGCCATTGCCAGGTCCTAAGTCTTGGATGAGAAAAGTGAAATGTTGTGTTAGGTTGTCGACAGCCACCGTAAAACTTGCCGAATAATCATGACATGAATCATTTAATCCATTATGTTAATGCTAGGGTGTTCTCTGAAAGTGACACGCAGAATGGCCTGAAAACAGCGAGAAGTGTGCAAGGGCCGCTACATCGTCATCCAAATGCAGTGATGCAGTGTTAAATAGGCAAGAGTTCCCACATCATAGACGGATGTGGGAAAAGAAGCTAGTCCATGAAACTAAAATTAGGTTAGGATCGTGGAATGTAGGTTCCCTTGCGGACAAATTAATGGAATTAATTGATATTATGATGCATATGAAGATAAATATTCTATGTATTCAGAAAATTAAATGGGTGGGAAAGAAGACTAAGGAGATTGATAGTTTAGTATTTAAACTTTGATATTCTAGTGGGAGTCATACTAGAAATGGTGTAGGTGTGATTATAGATAAGAGTTTGAAAGATAATGTTGTAAAAATTGATAGAATTAGAGATAGAATTATAGTTTTGAAGATTATCGTTGATGATAAGATTATTAATATTATAATTGTTTATGGTCTTCAAGTAGGTTTGGATATGTACTAAAAATTAAATTTTAGAATGATTTATAAGAATTAATACAAAAGATACCTCTTGAAAAAAAAGTTTTTATTAGGGGAAATTTAAATGTATATGCTGATAGAGAGGTAGAGGATTTTAAAAATATTTTTGTTGGCTATGGGTTGTCAGAGGTAGAGGATTTTAAAAATATTTTTGTTGGCTATGGGTTTGGAGCAACTAATGAATTAGGTAAGACTATATTAGATTTTGCTCTCGCTTATGATTTTTGTTATTGCCAATACCTTATTTAAGAGAACATATCATCACTTGTAAGAATTGATAAAGTAAAACTCAGATTGATTATTTTCTTATAAGAAATATAGATCATTTAGATTGCAGAGATTGTAAAGTTATTCTGAGTTGAAGTCTATGTACCCAATACCATTTATTAGTTTTGGCTTTTAAGTTAGTGTAAATGGTGCTCAAGGTAGACTACCAGTAGGGATGCATGTAAGAATGGTGGTGATTGTGTTTGGCGGCATGCCTAATGCGAGCACTACTGCAAAAGTAATGAGTCTTTTCAGATCTTATTCTCTAAGTCACAAAGGTAATCAAGAGCTCGAATCCATATATATATGTATGTGTATATATATATATATATGAGAGAGAGAGAGAGAGGAGAAATTTGCTTCTAGTTATTTAGTATTTGTAAGATCATCTTGTGAGGGCGAATCTTCAATTCGTAAAAGGGCTTAAACAACTAAAGTGAAGCAAAAAAAATGAAGCCAGTTAAGGAAATTAAGAGTAATCTATTTGTGATCTTTCTTAAGAGGCAACATTATCATCAAAGAATCTGCTAAAATAAAGCATCCTTTTTATTATCCCAGAATAAAACAAAATAATGCTATATTGTTTAGGAAATTTTGATGTCATGTCGATGACAATACATTGTGTGCTGATGGTGAGTTGCATTGTTTTTTGATGTACCCTTTCCTTCCCTCTTACATTAATAAATTACAATATTTGGTACATCAAAAACTATTGTTCAACTTTCATTCCATATAATTATTTCTCTGTTTTTTTTAAAATATTTTTATTTTTTTACAGGTGGTTAATTCTATATGCGTGTTGTCAGTTTGTGAAAGAATAGCTTCCTGTGATGGCACTATTCATATATGGAATGGACAATCGGGAAAGCTTATTACAGCTTATTCAGAATCTTCAGTGAATTTCGCACATCATGTTGCAGCAACAACTGCTAAAGTGACTGCAGAGCAGGTGAACATGCTAACACCTTATTCACTTTCTGGTGGACTATTGTCCAATGCCTTCAGCGGAAATCTCTACACATGCATGCATCACCTTGAATCCAATCATAAGCTCATTGCAGGCATGGGGAACGGTTCAATTAGGTAACCACAAATTCCTCAATATTTTTCCCTGTTGGTATTTTGCAATTATTGATTTTGATGTTGTTGTAGTAATCAAAGTAGCAACGATTACCAAATGTTTTAATTTTGTTTCTAGAATTGGAGATAAATTTTACTTGGATTTTGGAATGGAGAAATGACTTATCAATTTGAAGCCATCTACCTGTTGTAAGTAGGGGGTATCAAAATGAATTTTCGGGTCGGGTTCGGGTCCAACTCGGAATTAACCCGGTTTCAACTCGCCTAAGTCGAACCCGACTTGATTAGATAAACTGGTCATAAGCCTGGATCCGAACTGACTTGGCCTAAACCTGACGTGACATTACCTGACCTACAGACCCTGTTGAATGCGATGGGTGATCAAGCACGGGCAGTCAAGCGGGCGTCGGAGTGCGATCGGGAAAATGGGTTAGGTCTAGGGGTGTAAACTAGTCGAGTTGTGCTCGAGCCATAGCAAGTTTGAGTTTGTCTTGTCAAATTTTTAGGCTGCTCAAACTTGACTCGAGCCCAGAACTTGAGCTTGAACTCGACTAGTGTGTCCAAATCTCTGGCTTGAATTCGACTCGTTAGCTTGAACTCTAATAACTTGCTCGAGTTCAGCTTGATTGCAAGCTCGATTGTAGGCTCGAATAGAAGACATTTTTATGAAGTTTTTATTGTAAGCTAATTTGAAATTTTCAAAATTTTGTAACAAATTTCACTTTGGAATTAACTAGATAGCTCCAGCCTCTAGGCCTCTTTTTTTGGAAAAAATAAGAGCGATATCAAGAAAAATGAGATATGTCTCTATAGAAATAGCAAATTAGAAATAAATAAGTTTTTTGGACCCATCACAGATTATCAAGGGACATGAAAAATAATATCATCATTTTCATCAAAATTTTAATAGGTTGCGCTAGATACATCCAAAGCAAGACAGAATTGTAAGAGCAAACAACAACAACCAATAGCAGTAACATCTCGAACGCATTATAAAATAAACTCTTAAATTTTTTTTTCTTTAGTAGCATTTAGCTAGCACAACTTTGCTATGTTTTATAAAAAAATTGAAAAAGCTTTTTCATTTTATAGTTCTTGTACCACAGCAGGCATTACACAATTTAAAGTATTTTTGAAGGATTTTAGGCAACAAAATAACACAACAATACAACTACAAATACCCCTCACAAAGTTCTTTTGGAAAATATGACATTAGAAGATTACAAAGTTACCCAAAAAAATTAATTTTTCTATGCTTCCATCAGCTTCATTATTTAGTTTTTTGACAACTTGCAAATGACAAAAAAGAACGTTAGCCTCTTTGCTTAAATTAAAAGTGAACCAAAATATTCAATAAAAAAGTCATAAAAAATGTAACTTTGATTAGAAACACATATCATGATGCAGAAACATAGTTCAATAGGTAATGCAATGGTTTAAATGTATTCACTATGGTCAACCACAACTTCAATGACAAAGTACTTCAGTGAATGAAGTTAAGAATGAAGAAACCCATTTATCTTTTTTCAAAGAAATAAATTAGCATAATACAAAGAGGCTCGATAGATGTTCTGAATATCAAAACCTATAAATGGAGCCTTTAGTGATATTCTGTCACTATAGTATGCGGTTATTAGGAGCCAGAAATTCACATTGTTCCCATGTTTTGAAAATATAGTATGTTTAGGTTATGAAATTCTATCGTGCATAGAATTAATCATTAAAAAAAGCATATAGCAAGAACAATAATAGAAATCTCTCAACAAAAAATATAACTTTGATTAGAAAAATTTTCAATAAGATGCAGTTTATGGTCAAAATGATTTTTAAGTACACAATAATGGTATCTCAATTTTCTCATCCTTGTCCACTTCCTGCAAAGTATATATATCATAATATGTTAGTGATAAAATAATCATTAAAATAAATATTTTGGAATAACAAATAAATCAATATATTTATACTGCCCTTCAATCCATAGTGTGCACGAACCCAATATGACTTGTATATCAAAGCTTGTATTGTTTCGACACCAATTTAGAGTAATACGTATCCACAACTCTCTCTGCTGCTAAGAATGTAAATCTGAAGCAACTGTGCTAATAGAAATTGATAGTATGTCTATAGTCAATCTAAATAATATGTGGTATTTCATTTGATTGCTTTTCCACCACACAATAACATCGAATGTTCGACCATGTGAACAAATATCTAGACCATCTTTTAGGTATTTCTCTAAATATGACTTTGAAGGTTTCTTATTGGTTTTTTTAGATACACAAGCTAGGAAATCATGCCACCCACTATATTTATTTGATCCACCTTCTTGAGCCATTCTTGAACTTCTACTTGCCCCTATTGAAGACTCTTTCCCCAATCTAAATGTGTCACCAACCACTTTAGCTTCTTCTTCAAAGCATGTGACATATTCTTCATACAACTCAAATAATAATGTACGAACATATGAAATATTATGCATACTCTTATCTCCATAAATCATGGGATATGCAAACCCTATAATAAGAAATATCATTCTTGTATTCATAATAGCTTCAAATGCCACCAGAAGATTACATTCACCCCAATATTTGTCAATTTTTTCTTTCATTTTTTTGGTGTTATATATCTAACAAATTCATCGTGAGATATTGATCGATCATCTTGAATCTTCTTGGTGGTACATATTTGGGATAAAAACAAATTTGAATTAGGATACTCAGCATCTGAAATGATGTTTGTTTCTTCATTAAAAACAAACACGTCAAAAACATTTTCTATATTATTCCATTTCTTTTCTAAAGGATAGTTGTTATAAAATGGTTCCCTCTCACTATATGAAGAGCATGCCTCCCTCATCTTAAGAGCCACTGTAAGCATGTTTTAGGTTGAATTTCATCGAGTTCGACAATCCATAACTAGCTTTTTAGTTGGCAATTGTAATTGTTGAACTACATCAGTAAATCGAAGTTGTCTGCATTCAGATGCATTTAAAAAACAAATTGTATCATGAATTTTTTCTACCACAAAATCAACACATTTAATCTCATCTTTTACTATCAAATTCAAGATATGGGCTCAACACCGAACATGAAATATCATTATGACAAAAAATAATTACTTCTATGCACTGAAGTTTTTCTTTAGTAATTTAGGGGCCCGATCATTATTACCGATCATTATTAGAAGCATTATAAGCTGACCCTGTGAACACTTTATTCTCTAAACGTCATTTATTTAATGTAAACAATCTCCGAAGCTGTGTGAGGAGACAAGTAAAGATAACTTAGCACACATTTTTGCAACTTTTAATTGATGTCTACATAATGTCCAGTAACAAAAATATAAGAAATTTGTTAGTTTTTGGACCTCCATATGTCTATGGTAAAATTGATCCTCTTTATGCTTTTCATTGCATTTTATAGCTTCTTTTTATCTTTCTCATATACTAACATGACGTCACTACGAGCTGTTATTCTAGAATATGTCAGAAAATAAGGTGACATCGGCTTCAAAATAAGATTAAAGCAAAATGCTTTCACAACTGAAAATGACTTCTCATTGATCATTGTTGACCTCCATGTTATACCCAAAGAGCAAAAGAGAAGAAAACTAAAACCAAATTCCCGCATACATACCTGTAAACCGTCGGATCCACGAAATCGTGCCGAAATCCCACTGCAAACCGCGCCGCTCCAGTCGATTTCCCGCGATTCTCGCTCAAACTCCGCTCGAGGAGGTTCTTTCGCGTCTTTAAAAGCCGACCGAACTCCTCCCACGACACTTGCTCTGCTTCTTCTCCCGTTCGCTACCCACGCGATCCTTCTCTCTCGATACCTCTCTTCTCCAGCAAACCTCCGACCCCATCCCTATCACCACTGAAGCCGGCGACATACCTCCTGATCCCGATCTCAGAGAGAGAGAGAGAGAGAGGACTTACCTTCTTCCTCCTCTCACCATAGCCGAACCAAACTCTTGCTCCAGCCCGATCTCCCTGCTCCCTCTCTAACTCCTACCTCACGCGAGGCCGAACCCGATCGTCCCTCTTGCTCTGCTCCAGCCGGCCTTTAGATATAGGTTTAGTTTTTTTTATTACTAATTAATTAGTTAACATGTGGATAAGAATAGAACTTGAATTAATCTTGCAAGTATTTGAGACTTGAACTTGCAAGTGGCACGTCATAACTACAAAGACTTGAACGCATATTGAACTTGAATTCAAATTTAGATTTGAATTACAACAAATGCAAACTCAATTTGAATTTGAGTATAATCAAGGTGAACAAGTTATAAGAAATTTGAATTCAAAATGAGCTTAATTTGAGGGGCAAACGCATCATACAAGATTTGGGTCATCCTCTTGTGACAATAAAAGACTTACAATAGTCAACATGACTAATTATGTGCAATGATCAAATGAACAGTGATAAACAAATTCTTGCATACCACTTTATTACAATCACACAATGACATATATTGGATAAAGAAAATTTTTTCATCCACTAGCAACAATCAAGACAAGAACACAATTCTACTACGAATAGTGGCATGAGATCTCCAATGTACTCATGAATAACATTCATCCCTATCATATTTGTAAAGTAGCAATAATTTTAAGGAAGGGGATATTCATGAACAATATAAGAAAAGACATGCGACGAATGCAGCAATTTTTCAATTTTCATCAGAGTAAGATAATGATGGTCTTTACGACAGTCATGCAAGAAGATGTAGTGACCCCTACTACATCTACTTATAAGCATTAACAGAGGTTTGTACCAAAGCACACTAGTCTACTTGTACATAACGATGGTGGATGAGATGCAAAAGCAATAATCTCCTTATAATCAACATCAAATGTCTTTCGACTACAAGCAGTGACAAACGACATGTAATGACTTGCAAATCAAAACACATGAAGAGATCGTCGATGAATGTGGTTCAACCAACAACTAATATCAAGTTACAAATAAACATATTGGTTTGCATAAAAGGCAATAATGAATGGTATGCTGTATGAATGAG